GGGGAGTACCTTACTCTAAGTTAACTTAAGACATCGTGAATCTATACCACGACTCGGGCTCCGGTGTTGGTTGAACCACTTGAATGTTGATCTGAGTATCGTGAACCGCTTTAGAGGATCCTAGCGGCTTACTAAAAACGAAACTGCTCGATTTGAAAAGCGTTGTTGTAGACTTGACTTCTCTTGCCTCCTTCTTTAGGTGCCGCTCTTTTGCATCGTCTTTATGGTATGGCAGCTAGCCCGCGGCAAGACTCGATCGACGGAGAGGCAGTTGTACACAGTAGCAGCAGAGATGAGGCAGAGCCAGCCAGAACTGAGAGATACCATCCAAGATCGATTCTGTTCAGTGGACCACCACAGGTAATGTATGGTGAGATGATTACCACGTGACCCGAGCTTAACCTTTTATCCTCCATACTGTTCTTCGCACATTTCCTAAAGTGCTGACAAGGAGACACTTTGTGTAACAATCAAGAACTTCTTCAGTGCTGATCACTTCCTTTATTCTCGTGACTGCAATGTGTGATTCGGGGTTGATATTGTAACGAGAAATTGGGTGTTTGTCACTCCTCAGGTCCAAAGGAGGAAGTGGTTTCTAAGTGGTGTTGTGTATTTTGCTCTTCAAAATACATCTTCCTTTCAGGTTTTTGTAGTTAAGAGCTTCTTGTCGACCCTTTTTTCATTTTGTTTTCTTTCCTTATTAACAACTTATTAACTTCTGTTCATTCATTTTTTAGGTTGGAAAAACTCACGCTTACCTTCATTTTGTTCGTCTTCTGCACCAAATGGTTCAGAAACTACGACGAGTGGATGTGTACGACGAAAGTGTCAGTATCCCTGACGAGAGCTCTTCAAAAACCACAGCGACCCCCTTAGAGAACGACCAAGAGAGAATGGCATGGCCTGTGTATAAGGAAGTGTCAAAGCTCCCTTTCAATTGTATCTTGCGCGAGCACCGATCCAGTGGAATTAGCCAGCTTCGCATCCATACCTCCATTGTTAACACTGTTTCTGGAGACTCTGTCGGTCAGCTCCCCTCAATCAAACTGTCACCTGGGCGACCAACCTGCCCCATGATGCTCTCGAACTGGGCAGCGTACGACATATATCACCACTGCGACAGTTGTAGAAATTACCGTGAAGGAATGGGTATGAATACGGCGTTGAGTTGCGTGTACACACTGCAGTGTGGAGAGAAGCTGCAGTTTCTTATACCGCATAGGTGTTTACATAGCTTTACCTTCACTGAGGAGAAGCAGCTCCGCAGCTTCCGCATTCCTGTGGTGCTAACAGGAGGCAATGGGGAGGTCGTGAAGCCGCTAAAGACGGAGTCAGGGGGGACAGTGGGGGTCGTTAAGAGTCCCATTATGATGCCAAGTACAGGAAGGCATGAATATGGTGAGAGCAGTTTTTTGTTTTCACTTTTCGGGATATTAAACCCTCACGGGATTTTATAAAACCTCGCTTCTACGAGCCTGAGTATGATCGGAACTTTTAAATTGTATTTTGAAATGGAATGTTACTTTGATAATAGAGTAAAGTTTGTCCACATTTCAACTCATTCAAAAAGTTAGAGGGAAGCACAGCTGTTTTGCAACACAAGTTTTAACAGCTCTAGGTCACCGATCGACGGAATTTTGCCTTCCTTTTCGCATCCTTGTTGTTATTCAAACCAGAAAATGAATGAATCATTGCTTGCACTCAGTATGCGGGTAACAAATTGCGCAGTTGTGACTTGCCAAGGGATTGCTTTCCATGATTTCAATTGTGTGGTAACAACGATGTAAATGCAACCGAATTTGTCAATCAGAGTCTAAAATCTTGCGTCTGTTTGGCTGTGTCTTTATTCATTTCCATCCTCAAAGGCAACGTACGTCGCTAGCTATACTACATCTTCACCTCCCAACAGCTACCATACTTTTAAACAAACTAGGCTTTTGCTTACTAATTTCCATTGCAAAGCCTCAACTGAGCGGTCAGTTTTTTTTTTTCCCTGGAGGTCATTAACTTGTTTGTACATTTAGACTGCAATAAGAAAGGCTGTTGTGAATTCGGGTTTATAAAGAAAAAGTCTGCCTCACAAGATTATTCAAGGTTTGTGTTTGTTATTAATTTATAGGCCTGCTAAACCTGTACCACGCATTTGAAGGTGAGGATCACAACCTACTTGTGTTTGTTAAACACCAAGAAATGGCCCTGTATCATAAGAGCTGGCCTAATCACGTGATTGTTGGGCTTCCCGTGAGCGCTGACACGCAGGGACTGGGAGCCGCACGATATTACATAAAGGTAAGAGGACAGTTGCTATGGGGTGACGCTACATTTAGCTGAGGAAGAAAGGGCGAAAGGGTTACACTTCCGGATGGTTTCTGAGGCGTAACAGACAGACAGTTTGTACGTTTCCAGAAACGCTTGTCCCTTGAGCGAATGTGTTAGATCTCTAAACCAGACTGTGAAATTCACGACCTCTTTGTTGACCAAAGACCTACTTGGGGTCCATGTAACATGTTTGGTGTGCAGTTCCTCAATCGGATTTCGAAATATTTGGCGGTCACTGGCGTGCAAAGAATTTGCTAAGTTTTAGGTAAGGAAAAACGTTGAAATAATTTCCGGCTGCAGGAGAGCTAGGACAGAAGTCAGATGTTAACACAACATCGATATACTTCGCGAGGGCAGCTTAGATGGTCCACGCTTTAGTGTTTTGTTTGGTGCGTATTTCTTGCTGGTTTATCTGTTCCTTTTTCTCCGTGTTCAATTTTTATCGTGTGTTATTACAGCGTCGTGACTGTCGATGTCCCTTTGTAGGAATTTGCCACGGATAACTGGCTTGTAGAGCGTGAGCGACATGCAGTTAATGGAAAACGCGGCCAGGATGTGTGGCCGTTTGTTGTCATGATGGATGACTCTTGTGTTATGTGGCAGAACCTTCTTAAACAGACCAACGTAAGGTAAGTAGAGATTTTTAACTGTTGGGAAATATCATTATCGATATCAGAGAATTTTTTTCCACGTCTCTCTTTTGCATGTTTGAAAGCGGTGTCATTGTAGTTCTTAATTACATAACGTTTCTTTTCTCATCTTCTCTCATCCTTGCATGATGTCATTTCACTTTATTCCATCGTGTACCTTAAATATTGTGAAGGAAGAACAACCGAAAACAGCATAAATTTAAGGGCGAAGACGAGAGAGGAGTATTCACTTTGTGAAATTAAACACGAAGGCGCGCTATAAAAGGAGCCTTAGGTCCCACTCGACCATTTGTCAATCAACCTTCGTGTGATGTAGAACTCTTAGAGTCAAGTCGGCTTGAGCTACAGCAACTCCAAAGCAGTGAACAGCGGGCGCATTCCTCAAAATTGTTTTATGTCTTCATCACAATACAAGACTTTGAGATTTGTATTTCCTTTCTCCAATGGAAATTGTCTTTATTCGTGGTGGTAAATTTGAGATCGAAGTAGGCGGTTCGCACGTTACCTCATGCCACCATGCTGGTGGAAGTAAACAATAGATATCTCATTAGCTCTTTTTGTTCGTCTACCAGCATTTGAATTTGACCCGCACACGTCAACGGTGAGTGACAAATGAGCTAAGGTCTGCCCAGGGAAGACTTCCTTATATAGCGTGCCTTCGTGTTTAAGGCCAGTTTATGAGCAACCTCATGTAATTGAAGGTTATTTGGTTGTTTCCGTAAATGTTGTCTCTGGTTTCTGTAAAGACGATAGCGTTTTGCAAACTGCATTTGATTCCTAGAATGCTTTGCTTGTGAGTATCATAGAAACACTGTCAAAGCACAGTTCTAACGTCCGCTCGGAACAAAGGAAAATTTCTCAAGAAGCTATGGAAGGCTCAAAGTATTAAAAGAAAAAAACACTAACAAACGAACGATTTGGTTGAAGCGTGCGGTAATGCGACGGACCAAGTTGCGATGGGTTTTGGTTTTGCACCTGACTGGTAAAAAGGATGCACTAGTTTTCCAGATTCTCACGGAACGAAGTGAGATTTTGTTGAAAATGAGAGCAAAACTCTGTGCACGAATTTGTTTCTACCTTGTCTTGATTAAATTTTTACATGTGTGTTTGGCTTTAGAGAGGAGTCCTCCACCAAGGAGACTGAAGGTCCTTCATTTGTGATGACCTCCCTCTGGAGGGTCCTTCAACACTTGGAAAATACCCCAGACCTTCTAAACTACGGAATGTTAGGCCTTCAGCAATATAGTGCCGACGCCTCGATACCTGTTTCTCAAGGCTCCTTTTCCCACTGTCCTTTGCACACCACGGTCATGTTAAACCTGAGTAAGCTGCAGGGGATCAAGTACAACCCGAACCGATACTGGTGGGAAGACCTCGATCTGAGTCTTCATGTGTTGGCCAGTGGAATACCCACTTGTCGCTTCAACCACCTGGTCGTTGCAAAGAAACGCATCCAGACAGGGGGTGCCGTCGTTTTCAATGAAGAACCAGCCCAAAGTACTGACAAAGGCAGTCCTAACAAAGAACCGCAGCCCGGCGATTTGCTGGTGACTGCCCCTGACCGCGAGGATACACCTTATCTCTCGGTACCCGCCTACTATCTCCTCGAGCGTTACCTTGGGCTAATGGGTTCAGTCCGACTCTTCCCCGAGGCTGCGGATAAACCAGAGCATCCAGTTCTTGTGGTGGACTGTTATGTTAATCTTGGTCCGAGGGTTTGTTTGGAGTTTGTAAGTTCCCATGGCTGGGATAAAAGCAAGAAGAACGACAACGAAGGCATAAGGTATGACTGTTAGTTGTATTCCTTGAAGTAGCTGCGTGTCACTTTGAGTGTTATAAGAAATCCTGGACACTACGTTCCTCCCAGTAGACTAATGTATTGTTATATTGTACCGTGAGACTCAAAAATCTGAAGCTGGTCTGATTTATCACAGTAAAGTTCTAGACACGGAGAAAAACCTGAAACCCACAACTTATTCACTGTTGCTGCTTGCAGAATAACTTTCTGAAGCCTGATAAGCTTCTTTCTGAGGAAGATAATGACAAATATTTCTGGTTTTGACAATTTTCTAAGTTTCTTAGTAAAAGCCATGCTGTCGGCCTCACAAGCTCAAAAGAAAACGTTACACTGATAACTTTACACTGATAACGTTTTTGGTAATATTGTATGTGAAACAGTTGTTAATGTTTTCCCCTACAATTTGATCGTTATTTGATCTTGTCGTTCTTCGTATCTTCAATTGTAGATGTGCATCACCTGTAAACTCAAGTATCTCCTTTTAGTTTACTTTACTATAATTCTGTTTCAGGTACGGTGGTTTGTTGCTTTATTTCTGCAGTCGCTCAGTGTCAGCGGCCTTCCTGGCGCGATTCAAGTTCGCCCCAGGCTCTCGCCTTTGCTTGGTGTGCCAAGACCGGAACACGCTCAGACAGGAAGTGGCTCGATTAGACTTGGAGGATCATTGGCGCTTTCGGTTACGGGACGAGTTTCAGACGGCGAATAGCCCGGAAGAACCTGCGCTATACTTTCTGACTGGAAGATATGATGCGTAGGAAAACTGAAAACTTCGTATTTCTAAGAACAGGATAGAGGCTTATCGTTCGTGCTCTGGCCTCAGAGCACAATTAAATTACGGCCTTACACATGTCTTCGATTTCCTACATTTTACAAGCTCGTTTCCCGAGGTATCTTCGGCTTCAGAAGAGCCACTGATCAACCAAGATGGCGTCCATGGGTTTTCGCTAGGCAAGTTAACGTTAGTGACAATGTTCAAAGCTTACAGAGTTCATCTGCAGAGGAGAATTTTTTATTTCGTTTTCCCGGTTAATTTACCTTCATGTAAATATGTACTTGGTGATAGATTCTCTTTCTGTGAAAGAAACTGAAGAATGTAATCCTTCTTTCGGGCCCATCAACTGAGCCAAAGTATTCTATTTAATAGAATATAAGTCTTTGCCTATCATGTGTTTTTGCAAGTGAAGGGTATAACTTTAAAGAAAACTGCTTACGATTTAGAGAGAAAAAAAAATTAGAATATTGTCTAGTGGTATATATAGAACAATTTAGGTTCCCCTCTTGAGCTTATTTTTTGTGCTATCACAAAAGTGTTAACCGTTCGAAAGCTAGTTTCAGTGTTGAAGTGGTGACCGTTCTCTCTCGTTGTTTTCCGCTTTATGGGCCACGCTCACGAAATTTTGCAAGAAGAATTTTAAAAAACTGAAAGATTTTGAATAATAACTTAATAATAACTTAATGAAAGACCATTTTACGTTATGTTTGACAAGGACAAGGCAAATATTCTATATCATGGAAAATTATCATAAATATTACTATCACATTTTAGAGTAGTTATTATTACCATCGTCATATTTTAAGATTACTATGTTTATTGTTATTTGTAATCGTACGTGTAGTTTATAATTCTTGAACGAAGAGAGTGACTTAACGAGTTAGCATTGTAAGTTCTGTTGTCAGTGCTTCTAAGTTCGGCGCTTGCACTGAAATATCAAAGTGATTTTCAGATGATTATCTGGATTTTCCTTGGATTATCTTTTGGTTTGTTACTCGCTCACGTCAGTCCAAAAACATGTTGAGGAAAGTTTGAATCTAATTCCCTAGGTGAGATGAGATTTCTTTAGTTTTGCCTCACTTTACCACGGGAGAGAACACTTTCACTCAGGGTCGGTAACGCGTTTCCACGTTGGTTCTCGTTTGATATTTGTGGTATTCACCTTTGCTGTGAACGGTTAGATTGCGACAGTCAATAAAAGAAAAAAACTATAGCAATAACAACAACAACAAAACTCTAAATCCTTTTTAACTTTCTGGGATAACCTTTCAAAATTTTGTGCGAGGCGGGATCGGGGTCATCATAATAAGGTTATTCGGCCTTATTGGATAGGTCGCGCTAAATACGGTACGGTTTTTAGAGTATTTAATCTAAGACATGCAATTTTTTTATCCTTAGTCTCTTGACGAGGGAATCATTCTTGACCAGAATCCTCGACAAGTGTGTGGACTTATTCATGCACGTTATTACACTAGGAATTAGCTTACAGGCGAGTCTAAAACGTCAGTCCCAACATGGTATAGATAGCTCCCTGAAGTGAACATACTGTATTTATACATGTATACAATATTTTTACTGAAAGGGGGTAGCAAAATGAAGGTTTTCTTTTTTTCCCATACCAAGGTCAGGGTATGAGAGGTTCATCAGGACCCCTACACCTTCCCCCTACACCTTCCCCCTACACCTTCCCCCTACACCTTTCCCATACACCTTCCCCCCACACCCCCCTTACCCTACTTATCCCCTTTCCCCCCCCTTTGGTAGTATGTCCATAAAGCTGTTGGACAAGGTAATTAAATGTGACCGGTCGCCTTTCGACATAAAGCTGTCACTGGTAACGTTATCAATGCAATCGTTTGGTGATGAACTGCACATTTTGTGAAGAAGTGAGTATTGATGATCGAACCTTCCCCTGCACTGAGATCGCCAGGCAGTGAAGCCGGCGAGGAGAAAACTCCTTGCTAAGGCTGGTGAAAAATTCTGTGTCCAACTTCTCTCTGAGCTCACAGGCTGGGATCTTTAAAGCCTGAAATGAGAAGAGAAATAAATTTAAGATATGATCCGAGTATACCAAACGTACTTGCTTTGAAAACTTAACTACCAAACGGTAAAAAGAAAAAAAACTCGAAACGGTTAGCAAGCAACTTTGGAGTACACACGGCTGCTTGTCTGGTTTAGGAGCTTTGACTGGGGACGCATAATATTTGAGGCCAGTTTACTGACGCCGACGAATCAAAGTGATAGATTCTCCTACCTCTTTTCTATGGAAGTGTAGGGTTTACCACCTAGTTTTTTATATTTTTTTATTTTCAGGCAATAATTGACAAAATGTCTCCAGTGAGAATATCACTTCTAAGATTAAATTGAACCTAAACCAGAATTGTCGCCAAACGTTGTTTTCGATGTGCAATTCAGAATGACAGCGCCAACAGTTTAAGGTTCGTCAACGTTATTTTTGTACTAATTGGCACTTACCGAGGTAACTATGTTCCCTCGGTCGTCAATTCCGACGTAAAGCCGAGCTTCTGCAGCCCACAAAGTGATCTTGTTCGGTCCCACAGAGTTGAGATGAAACACAGCTGAGGAGAGGGAAATAAGTGAAGTCTTACAGCCAAGTGGCTCATAATTAGCGATGCTTATCCTTTGTCTCGGAGATAACCCTCATTTCTCAACCCATTCGCGGGGAGAAGTATCATCAGAGTGAAGTTTTTACCCTAAGAACATAATACAGTGACCAGGGGGAAGGAACCATCCCGGACTTATCGACCCGCAGTCCGGACGGCTCACATAAAAACCTAGGCTACTGCATTTAGCTCCAGTTAGACAGGAAATAATCATCGATCAAAGCAATAACTGTAGGTTTCATTCCATTGCAAGCTCGCCCTCTATAACCTCTGTGAGTTCGCCCCTAAAGGGCAATCAAGTTCGCTCCCACCTTCAACAGTTCGCACTTAAATTTTTAGCTCGTTTCCTTACTGCAGAACTTATTCCTTGCACGACTAAACCATAGTAAATTTTTTAGCGAGTCTAAAGATTTCCATCAAAATGAGGATACTCATTTACTTTGTTCCTTCACTCCCAAGATCTTATCAGTGATCCTTCTTACTGAATGTCTTCCATTCAATTCATATGATGCAAGTTCGAAGAATTTGGCATTGGTTCAGCAAATGATTCCCAAATTGATATTTTTCTATATTCTCATCACTTTTCTACTGGATGTTGTATTGATATGGTAAGGAGAAATTGTGTCTTGGTCACGCGTGGTAGTTAAAGGGTTGTTACAGTCTCGTTACCAAACGAGTTCTCTCGGCTGCAGCTCAATAGGTAGAGCATACGTACAGCAACCATAAAATCGGAAGGTCTCAGACCTTAGTGTAGTACCTTTGAATCCTGAGAGTCGACCGGAATTTTTTCATTCCCCCCACGCCAACGACTCGTTTTAACAGATTTCTTTATTGTAAATGATTTGCCCTAACATCGTCATGGAATTCAAAATGTTTTGTTGTTGATGACTTTTAATCCTTCTAAGCCTTCTAAAAAGCTTAATCTCCCATTAAGAGAAAGTATAAAATGCTTGTCAGATTTCTAACTTCTCTGTATCTTTTTTCTTGGCCAACCATTAACAGGGGGCTGTCCATACAAATTACAGTCGCCACTAAAAAAAGTTGTGTAAAGAAGCCTTTAAACGTTGTTATCGTACCTAAAGAAGCATACTCTTTTTCCACGCAGCAGTTATCTCTTTAAAATCTCATTTCATTCCGTCGATTAAAAATTTATACCCTTCAAAAAAAAATGTGATGATTTTTAAATTTTCAATCGGTGGAATTCCTTTTTCACTGTTTTTGTTCGCTCTATTAAATTGTGTGACATTAATTTTTCGACTTACTATAAATGCTATCGTTGTTTTTCGTTCCTCTTACTGAACCATCAGGTCGAACCTCCAGGAAATGACCATTCCTGCATTGCAGCTTTCTTTTTCGTGGTAGTAAATCTGCCCCGCTAATTTCAGTCAATCGCAAAACCATCGTTAGACGGCGAAAATCGCTCACGATTTATTCCTTCGATCGATTCCTTCGATCGATTCCTTGTTACAAATGTCTCAGCTTTCGTGTGTTAGGTCAGTTCAGCTGATCGAAAACGGATGAAAAATATAGTTGAGCTGGCATCGCTTTAAAATGTTGGTTATGTTTTGCCATGAAACGAATACGTGAGAGATTAAATTACATCGTTCTTTTTATTGGTGCATTTGAATTACTCTGTCAATATACTGCAAGCTGGGCATTTTACCACTTATTTGACCGAAGCATTCCTTGAGCTTCAATTCGAAATTTTGTAGATTTTTCACTCTTTAAAAATCTGCATCTTGATATAGGTTATTGAATGACGAGTTAGCTGTGATATCCTTCAATTCAATTCTTGTATTCTGGTGTGTATTCCTGGCATAGAAACGAAAATGTAAATTTGCTGTTGTTTCATATTGTTGCCCTTATCATAAATTTATTTTAAGTTAAATGATAACGTCGAAAAACCTGATATTAGTTAACAATCGAATTAAGTCCAAGTAAAAAAGCTTTTTCCCATGGTTTTCCCGAGGTTTTTCAAAGTTCTTCGTCAAGACTTATTGAGGTGTACACAAAAATAATATCAAAAACTTAACTGAATTTCCATTTGTTGTTTTTGTGGTCAGTAATCAGTCTCGTCTAAACTCCGTTCTCTTGTACAGACTAAATTAATACATCCAAAAAAGTGTCTCCCTTATTCTCTTGACAAACTTTTTACCATACATCGCCCCCCTTTCCAGGGGGGGGGGGGGGGGGGGCAGGTAGGAGAAATTTGGTTTTGTCATGATAAAATTTACCTGATCTTCCTCTAAGGTTCTGTAATTCTCTTAAGATTCCCCTTCCTTGGAAGTCAATTTTTTATAGTTCTCTCCCCCCCTTTACACTCTGTTGGAGACGACTGATGCCCCTCCGTTCCCCTGAAAACTATGTGATCCCCCAGAAATCTCATGCCCCCTTGTCCAAACGACTGCGAGTGCCCATGAACATTCTTAGATGGAGGTTATTTTAAATTGTCTTTTCTGGAAGTCTCGACGAAAAAAAAATCGAGGCACTTAAAGTTATATAAACTCTTTCATCAAAGTAGATAAAAACGAAATTCTAACCGGAAAGCTCAACCGTAAACATTTCTGGATGAAGGAATTTCCTAAATTTTCCTCTTTTTTTAACGCACATCGATTGTGTCGCTGAAGCCAAATCAAAAACATAGTGACATCAGCGAATCGCATCAAGGGAAACTATCACATGATATACAGGGAATAAGAATTTAGATGAAAAGGGTAAATTTGCTTGAAGTGCAGGAAAACGCAACTGACCAATCCGAGTTCTTTCTGGTTTTGCATCTGATTGGTTGAGAGGATGAATCGAGAAAGGCATGACCTATGCAATGCAACCCTGTATCACTCTCAGTTACAAACTGCTCTGTTAGTGAGCAGCAGTTCTTGGAAAATTCTTGCGAAATTGTTCCTGTCAATGAAGAACTCTTCAAAAGGGGAGGGATAGTTGGAGGGAGGGGTTTTATAGCACCTTCGTGGCTGTACACCAGGCCCCCCCCCGGTTTTTCGAAGGGTTGGATAACTCTATCCACTGGATAAATCTCTATCCCATAATGGCACCATTACCATCTCTGACAAATCATCGCTGATTTATTAGAATATTTTTAAAGCGCGTTATTCAAAATTTCACGTTTCACGAGGAAAGACTGAGTAATAAAAGGACCGGTGGCTCGGTTATGAGGCCAAAGAGCAATTTACTCTTTTATTGATACACTACATTTCTGTCAGAGCTTCTTCAGTCCACAATCTATCAGTCGACTCCTTTTTGCAGAACTGTGACGCTTTGATCGTCTTTAAACATTATATCAGCGGAGAAGTTTATCAAACAAAGGCGTCCTCTATGCGCTTTAGTTAAGCATTTTATCAAAAAACTCAGCTGTCCCTTGAACAGATTTAAGAGATAGTTATTGACGCCAAAGACAGTCAACAAGTCGCTCGTATGTCCTGTGATCCGTCGACTATGTGCGGAATATTCGAGAAGATAATCTTGGTTGAATCGCCTTTCATCATAAAAAAAAAAAAGATGCATCTTAAGGCTCTGTGGAGTTGACAGTGCACTCCTCAAGCTATTTCAATGGCTAATTTTAATCCGCAGCAATAAGATCTGCTGGAATCTTTTTTCCCTTATCATCGTCGTTCTTTCGGCCGGAAATGGGTTGTTAGCCAAGGCAATGTAATTATAAGCTTACGATGAGTGATATAGAAAATGGAACAATTTATCTAAAGTGTTATCTCTTCATTTCGTTGCTTTTGCCCGATACAATTTTTTGCAGTTCTTCTTGGCGATGAAGGTTAAGTTCCCAGACTAAGTGCTGTTGTCCAAATAATCAGCGTTATTATCTCTGGTTTGGAATGCTCGATTCGCGGGAATAACTTAAAAACAGATCGATGGCTCTGTGACACGTTATATCTAAGGTGGCTGGCTTTTTGTTTTTGAAGATGAAAGGAAAAACGTTTCGTTTTATTATTTTGATTTCTTTCAGTTTTTTTTTTTATATTAAAGCTGTCTCAGTATTTTCAGTTTACAACCGGTGAGAGCTGAATTTAGTTAACAAGCACTATCAAAGCGTACTTGAGAATTTCAAGAGGGTAAATCAATATAACACTTGAACGCAAAAGCAATATTGCATATTGGATTTAAAGATTAGATCTGTGTGGTTAGGAAATGAAACCGAATAGGGCTATGATATGACTATCATGTTAATTATTTAGAACTATGTTCTTTTACTCACTTCTCACTATCGACGACGGAATACAGGACTTCTACCAAGCTTAGTTGTGCGTCTACGCTTTCTAAGCCATATAATCTTTAAGAGGAATATAAGAGGAAAGAGCTATTGAAGCAGTCATGCAATAAAATTATGCTTTAAATTGAGAAGTCAATATTTCATAACAAGTTACACTAATTCAACGTTGTTGTTAGGTCATGTAATGTAGACTGGCGGCAGAAGAGACCAAAATTCAGCCACAGCCACCGAAATCTAAGTCACGAAACGTTTGAGAGTATAACTAGCTTTGATTCTCTCTTCATCAAATACTTCATTGGTCTTCATTTACACAGTTCTACATAAACTCAAAGTCTTGTGCAACATTACGCCTTTCTCTGCTTCTATTTCATTGTGCAGTGAAAGGTGAACAACAACGGAGGGCAGGATTGTTACCTAACAGTAAGCGAATTCTCCGAGCCAAAACTACAACAAATGTACGTTAGACAGTAAGAAAAACTTAAATTTTGATCCTGGAAGTGAAAGCGTTGCTAAAGATTTAATCACGTTTTAAATTAATAGACATCAAATGCTTCAATCACGATTTAAATTAAGAGACACCAATGCTCATTATATTGTCTCTGGCATTTATGTAGAACATAGCAGGTTAATGGAGATAGAGAATGAAGACACTTGCATATGTGTAGATCGTAGTGAAACATAGGACACTTTCAACCACGTTCAACCTTTATTTTCTCGGCATTGTTTGTTTACAACGCTTTTCTGACCCTGTGACTTGTTGTAGCGTGTTGCTGAGTGCAACAGCTGCTTCCAGTTCGATGTCATTTAGTTCTGACCGCGAGGAAACTGTTTATGTTGATTTGTGCGAACCCCAGTTTAAGTTTACGTAAGGTAATTAACGTTAGAATAACAATGAAATGTTCTTTTAATGATAGCAAGAAAACACAATAAATCAAGATCTCTTTTAAACTGAGGCTGCGATAAATTCGGTTTTGCTACACCGAAAAATGTCGAGTATTTAGCTTTCATATAATCGGTTGGACAGACATTTTTCTCACAACTTTAAATCATAAGTTCTCCGAAATTGTAGTTCTCACGGCAAACATTATATTGAGTGGGAGCCTCCATACTAAGCCGTTGTTCAAGAAATGAGCCTGCGCTACCTCTCGTTCGTTCTGGTAATCGAGGACTGGACTCGAGAAAACGGCAGAATCGAACCTGAGTGTGTATGTGCATGTAGCAGAGAGTACTAAATTAACATGGTCGGTGGTGTCCCCCACCCCCCATCCTTTCGTTTTTTCTTTTGCTCATACCACTTGTTCACTTGTCACTCGAAGAAGCTAAACTGACACTGCAGAAGAGCAAGCTATTATATCTCGGTTGTAGTGTAAAAAAAAAACTTTAGGTCAACTTGAAGTGAGAAGAATTACTCATGAACTACATTGAACCTAATTTTGCTCACTAGAAAATTAGATATTTTTCAAACCGCACACTCCAAAGGTCTGAGGGCTCATTCTCTCAGCTATTGAACAGTCATTTTCTCATCGCTTTGTCAGCTCAGAATTTGGTGTCATACCAATGATTCCAAACTGTATTCTTAGACAGGTGAGCCCTGGGAAATTTTGTCCGAATTTAACAAACTGATTTGTCGCTATGTAAATTAGTATTCCTTTTTCATTCCTTTTTTAGGCTTCTCCTCGCTGAAGAAAATTAAGTTAATACTCTTGTAGACCCAACTTGATCTTCCTATAGTATCTTGTCGATCCATTGAAAGACCTTTCGCTTAAGTATTGCCATGTTTCTACTTTATATAAACATTTCTATCCATGTTCTATTAAGTTTTGTACGGCTGGAGTTTTCAGTAACCACCCACTTCGTGCCGCGGAGCGCAGAAACATGAAACCTTGACTCAACGACGTTCGTCGCTCACGATCTGTCATTAAAATGATGGATTAATTGTATCGTCAGACCATCAGCGATGGCACCAGTCAAAAAAAAAATAAAAAATTTTAGAATGCGAGTCCAGATGTGCCCCGAAGACATAACAATCAATTTTTATCAAGGCTCCTATCTCCAAATGAAAATCAGAAGAATTTTCTAGCAGTTCTATAGTTATACAGATATAACTTGAGACGTAGATGTGAGAAGCAGAAAACTGAATTTGTTTCCTGAAGGACGTCGAAATTATTGTCGAAAACATATTTTTGTGTTTTCTAAGTGGTGTTGTTGGTGTGAATTCAATACTCCTCACTGAGGTCAAACATTTTTCACAAATTTGCGCGTATAATGGATGATATATTAGGAGCTGACCTATCAACACGAAAGCATTAATTGATTTCACGTATGTTGAGGAGTCAGGCTGATTAGAGACCGATCATAAAGTCTAGGTGCAGAGAAAATCGAAATACTTGTGAGCACGTGAGCTATTGATCGTGTAATACCTAGAAAGATGTTTTTAAACTTTGGTTTTGTTAGCAGACTCTTCTTCATCATGTAATCAGACTGGAAGCCAGGTTTCTCCATTACAACTTTTCATTTGATAAATCGGCTAATCGGCATTAAAGCTTCAAGGGCGCTTTATATTACTGGTAGAAATTGACGGACATGGCCGCTCTATTTCTGAAGAAGAGTACAATTGCTTACAGTTCTTCGAAAAAAAAATGCTCATAGGTCAGTTCTGATTTTACTAAGCGAAGACGAAACGTGTAAGTAAGGTGGAACGAGGAAAAAGGCATAAAGATATTTGTCATGCAAAGTTCTACCCTCCATCGGACATGATTCAACTGCGGAATCTTTCTTTGTACTGTAACATCTCGCAGATCTCTGGCCGATATCGCAGGTTATATTGGACGACTGAGAGGATAAATTTCTGGTATTTTAAGTAACAAAAGATCTAAACTTGAAGCGAGGTAAAACAGAAGGCTCCGCACCTTTGCGTCGAGCGAAAGGCTGAACTCAAAAGCATAAATCATACATATAAAACGCATTTGAATTCACTTAAATTCCGCTCAAGAAACGTCTTTCGAAGGTAAAGAAAACCAGATGAAAGAAAATGGCGCATGACAACGAACAACGTATGAATTTCCCATATGGTTCAGTCGCTGCTGGTAATTGTTGTCTTTGCGGTCATTTGTAATTTGTTCGGTAGAGGCTTATTCCGATAAGATTATCCTTTTGAAATTATCCACTTTTGTCTTTCAACAAATGTGCGACAGGGCAATTTGTGCTCTCTTTCGTGGTCCCTTTTTTTGAAAAACGAAAAACATCCGGCCGTAGAATCCATTCCTGAAACTTGGCTAATCGCGTTCTAAAAACGTATCTCGCGTTCAGGGTCACTGAATACAGTTCCGCAGAAATTTGGATGTGAGCAGCTGTTGAGAGGATTTAACGATAAATCGATCGCTTTGCCTCATCGTTGTTGATGCCTGTGGAACTTACGTGTTTTTCTCGCAAGCAGGTCTCTCAATTTCCGCGATTGCAAATTTATTGCGTTGCAATAAAAACCTCATCAGCAAAATACAACGTTAACTGAACTTCACGCAAAGGCAATTAACAATCACTTATAAATAATTTACGCCATTCGTCGAAGTGAGACTGAAAACCAAATCATGAATGCACTAAGGCATCACTACACTCCGGATAACATCTGATCCTCTGGCGGCTATCGCTATCTAGATTTAATTAACCACGTTATCAAGTCTTTGCACACGTATAAGCATTGTAACTCTGAGCGCGTTCTATTCAAACTGGGAGGTATTTAGGGATTGTGTTCCACAGCGCGCGCAAGATGCACTGACCAGACAGAAGACGATCTACGAAGTCACCACCGCAGCTATTAAAGCGCAACGGAGATACAAAGCAAACAGCAAAAGCTTGCGGTAAGCCATGGGAAAGTTTTCTCCCACAATTGCACCCACGACAGACAAACAGCTACCAACAAGGCGTCGAAAGGGAAGTTCAGACACACCGTCTGCCAACGCGCTTCGCGAGAGGGTCCGAGCGCAGAATATGAAGAGGGCGTACTTGAAACTACAGAAAACGCTGCCTCAAGTTCCACCTGATACTAAGCTACCGAGGCTTAATATCCTGTTAATGGCGATCGACTACATCTCTCATCTTCGCGATGTGCTGCATAACGATACGTGCGCAGCTGAAGAAAACACTTCCCCGCACAAGGTGGAGGAGAAATGTGGCATGTTCCGTCCTTTCATTGAGGTAAGACCGCTATTTATAAATGTCCCATGGATCAAAATTCTTCCGAAAGTGTGCAATACCTTCCTTGGATCTACTGTCCGCCCCAATTGCGATCAGGGATGTGAATGAGTGCACCGCTCGCGAAGTTGTTATTCAAAAAAATCATCTCTGTGACAATCTTAAAATGAAGTGCTAAACTCCAATCACAACAGAAATGTTTATTTTGCTCTACTAGTCGGGGGTCCGTGTAAACAGTCTATGTTCGTGGTCGGCATCTTTTTTACTGACTGATGTTTCGTGTTGAGTCCAACAATCTTGACTGAAGCGTAAAAAACTTCTTATGTAAACATTTTGTAGGGCCATCAACCTTCCGCGGCACTTTCAGTGTTCTCAAAATGAGAAAACCATAAGTAGTAAGGCACGCTGCTTTAGAATCTTAACTTTGTTCAAAACTTGTCCGTCAGAGGTAAAAATTGTTGTTGTTAGGACTAGGAAGTTTCCTGTTTGCCAAAGGAGTATTTAAGCGATGTTTTCATGCTTTCGTGACGATGCAAAGACAGCGGGGAAGGAAAAAGATAAAAAAGCACTTTGGAAAGCGACAAGATTTATTGAACTAATGAGTTTTCATTGTTTGAAGTTATTCAAAGCAAGATGATTTCAAAAACAAGATAACATAGGTTTAAGACATTTGGAAAAATCATCGAGAAAATAGATTATTTTCGTTGTTTGAGTTTATTTATGGAGACAAAATCATCCGATAAATGTCTGACGTTCTAGTCTAGCAGCCGCTTTTTAGAAGTAGTTAAGATCGATAGAACGGCAATTAAGGCTAATTTCTGAGAAATTTTTCAGATAACGGATCTTATTAGGGAAAACCAGCTACATAACCAAATGTTTTTACGAAAGTAAAAGTGACTCTTAGAATTTGGAGGCATAGAAATGTGAATTTCAGAGCGTGGAAAACAAACTCTTGGCAGCAGATAGAGTGGTTGAGAGATGTAGACTAGTACAATATTTTTGACCATTCTACCGCGATGTTAACCCTTTCACTACTTGGAGTGACAAAAAGCGATATCTTCTCGTAATAACAATATAATTTCGAGCAGAAACGTGGCGAGGATAAAGAAAATATAAGTTAAGTGGTATTGTTTGATTCAATATCAAAATCTCAGAGCTAAAATTATATGAGTTGTGGGACCGTGACAGGCTCGACGGGGAATTGACCAGATCGTGGTTTTTAAAAGGTCAAATTATCAAATATACTGAAGTGTCCATATCGACCAGCGCCATAATAGGACTCCTCGAAAATAAATAATCATTTTTTTTTTTCTACACTCTAAGGTAACTAAGTATCGAAATATTTCAAAGAAGTGACATCTTTAAATACTTGATACCAAGAGAATATCAACAGTTAGTATTCTTTTGTTGATACTGAGTATTAACATGCGATACTGTTTTTTACAAGAAGTTTGGTGTCAGACACGTGGTAAAAAAAATACCTGCAGTTATGATAAGTGGGGAGCGGGGGAGGGGGTTTGGATCCCCAGACCCTCCCTTTGGATCCAACTCTGCATGCTGAGAAGAAGGAAAGTTAAAGAGTAATGTGAAGAGGGATGAAAGACATGGAGATGAGATACAATATCTTTATTTTCCTGTTCCTTTGTCCTTCGTCTGGTATGATAAACAAGAGAAATGAGGAACCAATTATTTTCCTCTCTACGAACTCAGTTAGATATTGAGTGCTCCTTTGCTCAAACAATAATCTTTTCTCGAAGTTGTTAATGTCAGGAACATAGCGCTGACTTTCATTGAGACGAGTTATGGACAAGGTTTTCCCGTACTGTCCTTTGTCAGTACCAGAAATGACTGGAATAAGGAAAGACATCTGGGAACAGAGAGCGACAATTTGGGCTTGGGCGAAGATATGTCTATTTATATTCCCCTTTTTCAATCTTCATATTTTGACGTTAATGGATTTCTTCTTCTTCTTCTTCTTCTCCCCCAAGACGTTCACATAGCGGATGTTCACTTAAACCAAACCATAACAAAACAAAACCAAAAAGCATTTCCCTTCTTTTTTTGAAATCATTTGCATCGACAAAATTATCTCCACGGTGTTGTTTGTTAAATTTTTTTTTCGCATCGAACAACTGATCCAGGACAGGTCCGCCTTCTTGCAAACGTTTCGGAGAAAAGACTTCTTTCTTTAAGGCTCTCTGTGGGATCTGGAGCCTACACCTATCTCACTTTATTTTCTCTTGGGATTGTTGACCAATGAAACAAGAAGCGATAGAGAAAGGAAAGGGTAAGCGTAAGTTCTAGGAGGAGGAGCAAAGAGAAAGTGAGTATTCTCTTACTTTTCCTAGCTTCAAGCTCAACGGGAGAAGTGTAAGCCGAGCGGGCGAAGTAACGTGAGGGCATGGGGTGAGGGATGCCGCCGGCGGCATGCTTTTAAACTAAAAGGAAATGAGCTGAGAGTTGGCTTTTCACGTTTTCTGATTAATTTTCCTTGTTGGCTTGCAAATTCATGTAACTTAACAGGACCTTTGGTTTCGTTCATTTCTTTCAGAAGTGGCCAATCAGATGCCAGCTGTTGTCAGACTTTTTGAGACCTCAACTTGACGAATCACAAACAAGACGTCAAATAGCCGTCAAAGAGAAGTGAGCTGACTGAAAAACAATTTTGCATTGCTGCAAAGTTTGCCTTTCGACGAAATTACAAGTCGTTTTAATTTATTCTCGAGCCAGAGCTTGAACACAGCTGTTTTCCACGTTTATGTTTTGTTCCTCCAACTCAACGTAAAATTGAAGTTTTTTTTTTTTGTCTCAACGAAGGAGATGAATGGCGGGAACGTTTTTAATTGATTTTTTTTTTTTTTTAAAAAAAAAGAAAAAAAAAGACCTTTTCAATTAAAAAATTCGGTTTTCAAAGTTTTGCGACCCTGGAACTTCTCATGACAGTAACTTGTTTGTTTTCGAGAGTCGTTTGTACATTTACGCGAAATAGTCGTTTCTTAACGGCTCAGATTTTCTTTCTCAGTCACAATATAAAAACTCAACCCTTGTCCTCTCTCAGTTTCTTCTGCAAAACATACGGCCGGTTTGTTTTCACCTATAAGTATTTATTTTCCGAAAAAAAAAAGGAATTTTCTTCAGTCACCTTTCCTGGGATCATGAACGAGGGTCTGTGTAACTTTGAAAACCGGCGATATCCCTACAAAAAACTTTACATCAGTTTCTCAAGTAAACATAAGCAGTGATGGGCTCCTGTCGTAAGTCAATACCTATCTTCCTCAAATGTGCTGAGCATTGCTGACGTCAAACATTTTCAAATTATGATTTGCTAAATATGAATTGACCTTGCAGACTTGGAGAGCAGAGCCTAAGTCGCTAAAAATTAAATCACCCTTAGTGCATCTAAGAAATTCACCTACATAGGATGTGCCACATTTTTAAAAGGATCAAGCAAGAGCAAATCAGGCAATTGTAGTAACTGAGGCATTTCAAAGATGAAACGAAAATACAAAAAGCCACTTACGAGAAGAGCTTGGCCTGTAACGACACCTCTCTTTCTCTTCCCCTTATTCCATGGGCTCATAGCACATCCAGATAGAGAGCGCCCTGTGTACGAGTTACGTAGGTGACATTTCTCTCCGGAGGTTTGACTCATAAGTAAAAAACATAGATGGATTCCGACTTCATCAGAATCGAGTTATATATGATTAATTAGTCAAATAACGTATATAGATCATTCGCAATTATTAAAATAAAAGACGATAAAACCAATTTGATTATCTTTGTGTTCCCATCATTTTATTTTGTAAAAAGCGAAGGTTTCTCATTCAGTTTATGCTGCAAGTTCCCCGCAGCTCAGTGAGTCAGGGCGCAGATCCTCTTCAAATGAATTTACCGGCCAGTTTTGTTCGATCTCTTTTTTCTTTTTCTGATGATTTTTACTTTTTCCCATTTCATATCCAGCTTATAATTAGTTTGGAATGTTTTTGTATACTCGTCTTTTTTGTTATATTAACGAAGGCTTTCTCTTGCTACTTGCAGTCTTAAAATTCACTCTTTACTCATGGCAAAGTTCCCCGCAGCTCAGTGGGTAGAGCATTGTGCCGCGAATGCTGTCCCAGTCGGGATGGAGATCCTGTTCCGGGGGACTTGCCGTTTTTTTTTTGTTTATTCCTTTTAAACTCTTTTTTGTGATTTTTTTGTTTTGTTTTGTGATAATTCGTTTCTTTTCCCATTTTATACTTAGTTTACAAATAGTCTGGAGTTTCTTTTATACTGGTTACACTGGTCTTTTCACTTCATTACGTTAGCGAAGATTTTCTTCCAATTATTGCCAAGTTTTATCTTTTACTACACCAATAAATTTAGGAAATGCATCGGAACGCTGCCGAATTTAAATATTATTGAATCGAACAGCAAAGGCTTTTGTAGTAAAATTATATTAGAGGCTTAAACACTACTGTCAACAGAATCTCTGTGCACTTGTTCCTTGTAGTTCATACTTCACTTGCTTTATACGCCGAATACAAATATGGCTAGTCAGTCCAGAACAATGGCAATTCAAATTGGACGCCATATTTGCATTCGGTGTATATTATCTAAAAATTTGCTCTCCATTCATGGCAAGTTCCCCGCAGCTCAGTGGGTAGAGCATTATACCGCGAAAGAAGTGCCAGTCAGGATGGAGATCCTGTTCCGGGGAACTTGCCTTTTTTTTTTTCTTTTTGACATCGTCTTTATTCGTGTTTGTTACTGGTCTTTGCCTGTTGGGACATTACCGAACGCTTTTTTCTACTCATTGGAAAGTTTACCTTTTTCCCACGTTCTTAAATTGAGGAGCTGCATCAGAACGCAACTGAAATTGAACATTATTAAATCAAACATAAGAGTTTTCATTAAAATGTTATCCTGCAGTTGAAACACTTTTTCCTCAGAATTTTGTTACTCTACATGTTTTATATAATCTTAAAATTTGCTCTTCATTCATGGCAAGTTCCCCGGAGCTCAGTGGGTGGAGCATTGTACCGCGAAAACGGTCCCATAGAGATGGAGATTCTGTTCTGGAGAACTTGCCCTTTTTTCGTTTTCGTTTTTTTTTTTTTACGATTTGTAATTTTCCCGATGATTCGCTTCTTTTCCCATTTTATACTAAGGTTATAAATACTCTGGAGTGTCATTGTATTCTCGTCTTTTCACTTCATGTCATCAGCGGTGGTTTTCTTCCAATTATTGCCAAGTTTTACTATTCACTACACCCTTAAATTTAAGACCAACATCGGAACGCTACTGAATTTAAACATTATTAAATCGAACAGCAAAGCTTTCTTTAGTAAAGTTGTTTTAGAGTCAAAAATATAATTTTCAACAGAATCTTTGTGCACTTGTTCCTTCCAGTAGGTATTTCACTTGTTACATATAGTCTTAAAATTGGCTTCCCCATCATGGTGAGTTTCCCGCAGTTCAGTGGGTAGAGCATTATGCCGCGAAAGCGGTTCCAGTTAGTGTGGAGATCCTGTTTCGGGGGAATTGCCGTTTCATTTCTTTTTTAACCTGTTTATTTATTTAATTTTTATAATTTTTTTTTATATTCCTGTGGTTATATATTTAGTTGTAATTTAATTTAAGAACACGTGGAATAGAATCAGCAATGGCATTAATTCAGTGGAGGTTTTTGATTCGTTCCTCTAGAAGGCGTGGAAACAAAAATCTTGTCGTAATTGTGACGTACTCGTCGGTGATTGGTTCGTTTCCATATTCCACATTCATAGCAAATTGGAAAGATCACTGAAAGCAAACAGGTCGTGGATGCACGAGGACGTGTTACTGTGATTATACAGTTTGTACCAAGAACGCGATTCGAATTGGACTGATGCTTAAAGATGTCGTAAGGTAGGCATTGCTCTTGTATAGTTTAATTCAATGCCCATTTTAGAGGTGTGAAATGCAAGGTTACTGAAGAAGAGCGCTTCGGGTTTGCCTTTGACTCAATGCTTTTCTCTCAAAGACCGACGCTCCCCCGATCATTTCGTTTATGAAGCAGAACAAGCACTAGTGCAGACACTAGTCGGTAGTTGTAACTATTACTGTGTTATGCAGCCAAGTGTATTTGAAGTTTTGTTGTAACTGTATTTCTAAACTAACCTTCGTGTTGCTACAAAGAGTATCGTTGTGCGTCTTAAGTTCTGAAAGCTTGCTATGTTCTCCCTTGCATATGCAGTTCTTATTGGAATATTTGTAAAACTTTGAAACTACTCAACCGCCTTCAAAATTGTTTTTCTCATTTCTCTGCAGAGAAGACTAAGTTCCTGAAGAAGATAAAAGAACAAAGAATTCAAGAGGACAAACTGGAATCACTGAATCGAGCGGATACGCTGCGAGATAAGAACTTTACAAAGCTATCTTATAGTTTTAGTAACTAATGGTGGCTGTCTAAGTTTTACCAGGGAAATTCAATTAAATTAATTTAAAATCGGATTCCTGATTACAAGGACAGGCTCTAGTTAAAATAGTTAAAAAGGAAAAAACACTTGGCGTGTGAGGAGTAACAATGCAATTTTGCGAAAGACTATAAAATCGGTGACGATGGCAGCCACCATGAGAGTGATCTTTTAAGATGGCACTGCACGTGGAACAAATGATATTTTGGAAGAAAAATTCAGAATGTTATAGAAAAGCTAAGATTCTTTTATGTATTAACAGCGGACAAACAATAATTCAAACGTTTGCACCGTTCATATCAACGCACAAGTTTGCCATAAGCAGCTTCGAATTGGTTTGGTTTTCGAAACTTTTCGTGTCGAAAAAAATTCAAATTTTTAACTAGTAATTCGGTCAAAACTTTGTCAATACAATGGCCAGTGCCATCTTTAAATATTCACACATTTTCTTCATTAATCTTACAATAGACAAGAGAACAATGGCAATCAAAATGTGAAAATTATCCATTTATTAGCGAAAACCAAAGTTGCGTTCCTTCGCTTTTGCTGGGATGACGATACCTTGACTACTACACAATGACGAATGTGACAAACAGAACGCTGACGTGAAGTTCACGATAAAATTTTAAGATCTAACAATGACTTTTCTAGACCGTTTACAAAAACTGTGAATATCAGAGGACAGATTTCTGTACGCATTGTTCTACCATGACAAGTCACAAAAACATGATCCGACAATTTGGATCTAACGAGACGATTACAATAAGTTGCAAGGCAGTACAGACCTTAACAAAAACTAAAACTACGATATCGCGATTTTTACTTGGAATCTGACATCAATTAAGTTCGACGAAAGTGAACTACTACTGAACTTACGAAACGAATGCTAGCTCAACCAGACTGCTACGATTTCAGTGTGGAAACCCTTCGTACAGCGAATAGTTCCAAATCATCTGACTGATACCCTGTCTTTCACAAAGAACGTGACATACCTTGACGAATGTTGTAGACAACGATGAACCTAGCAATGGTTTACTTGAACAAGTGTTTCGACTGTTAGGCTTTCCACATCGTGATAATAGCTGTAACTATAACAAGACTCACTGAACACAATTTATGAGAAGTAGCGAGATCAAAGACGTCACTGACCTACGTACAAACTATTCTGTTGACTGGACTCACTGCCAAATGTTTAGCCTAAATTGAGACAATTTTCAATGACTAAGGATGGTTAATTTCCAAGGAAAGTTTATTTCCTCTTTTCAACAGAATGCTAACACTCATCAAAAGCATTTGTTTTCGACTGTAAGATGACAAAGGGAACGAACTGAACAATCAGACTGACCAATCACAACTGACAAACTGACTAATTCATGGTATAATTACCAATCAGCCCGACGTGTTACAACAGTTGAAAGTTAGAGTATCCATCTACCTTTGTTTCGTTTTTTCGAAAAGATTAGAGTAAGTTGTCAAAATGATAACAAATCAAACGCAAATTACCATGAGGGATTTTAGGTTACTATCAGCGATAAATTTTTTTTCTTGGAAACTTTCTGTAAAACAATTGTAAATAGGACTAGAATTTCTTCGGTGAAGACAAAATTGCACGCAAAATAAGTTTGCTTTCAGATAATTCTTTGAACCAGCCACTGGGTTTTATCGCCGTAGTTATAATGTAGAAAGACCTTTTTCAGCCAAAAATTATTGTAACACAGGACTAAAGGAGTTTTGGAGTTTGAACGCTGAATTGATGATTTCATCGGTGAAAAATAAAAGTTTGCACGACCAAGATCTTGTCAAAATTACTTGAAAAGAAAAGTGGAGCCAAGGAATTCTTAACCCTTGCCACCAAAGTGAGAAAAAAATTAAACAGCTCTCTTGGCTTATCAGAGAATTAGAAGAGGGAAAACTTATTTGAAGATCATTTTAGTTTAACAAACAAATTTGGTTATGATTC